GGGGGAGGTGCCTGACTGCGGGCACCTGGGGGGAGGTGCCTGACTGCGGGCACCTGGGGGGAGGTGCCTGACTGCGGGCACCTGGGGGGAGGTGCCTGACTGCGGGCACCTGGGGGGAGGTGCCTGACTGCGGGCACCTGGGGGGAGGTGCCTGACTGCGGGCACCTGGGGGGAGGTGCCTGACTGCGGGCACCTGGGGGGAGGTGCCTGACTGCGGGCACCTGGGGGGAGGTGCCTGACTGCGGGCACCTGGGGGGAGGTGCCTGACTGCGGGCACCTGGGGGGAGGTGCCTGACTGCGGGCACCTGGGGGGAGGTGCCTGACTGCGGGCACCTGGGGGGAGGTGCCTGACTGCGGGCACCTGGGGGGAGGTGCCTGACTGCGGGCACCTGGGGGGAGGTGCCTGACTGCGGGCACCTGGGGGGAGGTGCCTGACTGCGGGCACCTGGGGGGAGGTGCCTGACTGCGGGCACCTGGGGGGAGGTGCCTGACTGCGGGCACCTGGGGGGAGGTGCTCTGACTGCGGGTACCTGGGGGAGGTGCCTGACTGCGGGCACCTGGCAGCCAGGAAAAGGTGCAGCTGCCCAGCAGAGGCTGGGGTGGGAGGGAGGCTGACCACACAGTGGCCAGAGGGAATTTTCTGGGCGGATGGAAATATTCTATATCTTGGTTATTGTAGTGGTTATACAACTCTATGAATTTGTCTAAACTCAGATTTGTACACTAAAAACGGTGAATTTTACTATCTGAAAATTATACCTCAATACACCTTAAACATTTAAGCTAAGGACAACAGAAGTGTCAGTAAGGTGGGTGTCCATGGTGACACTGCAATATCCGGGATCAGAGGAGCAGTTGAGATCTGGGGGTGACTTCACACGGAGGGTGAATGGAGGCCTGTGTGCTGTGTGTGAGTCCCTGCCTGCCTGCTGGGAAACCCCGAGCCACAATGGAGAAGACCCCAAATCATACTGTCCCCTCCTGCCAACAACTGTGGCCTTTTCCCCGACCAGAGGGGAAACAGAGAGAGAGAACTGAGTCAGAGACTGAATTTCAGAGCTGGCTCTGTCGCCGGCCAGCTCAGCCTCTCAAAGCTTTCGTTCCCTCATCTGCAAAACGGGACAGTGGCCGGCACATCGAAGAGTCCAATGAGGGAGAGATGAGATGAGATGAGAGATGGCATGAGAGCGCCAAGCCCAGTGCCCAGCTGAGAAGGGCTTCCTGACACATGTGGGCGTCGCCTTGCAGGAGAGGCCACCAGCAGGCCTGGCTTGAATTCTTGTTGCACTTCTTACAAGCTGTGTGACCTGGGACAAGTGTCTTAACCTCTCTGGGCCCTGACTTCTTCACTGATAAAATGATCATATGTTTTTTGGCCCCATAAGATTGTTGTAAGGATTCAATGAATACAAAGGCCTTAACCTGGGCCTAGCATGTAGTGAGCACTCAGGAAGAGCTATCCCATTATTATCATAGGGTTGCTAAATTTAGCAAATAAAAATATGGGACTGCTAACTTAATTTGGAATTGCTGGTAAACAATGAATTTTTTTATTTTTTATTTTTAGTATAAGTATGTCCCACGCAGGCTTTGGGACATACGTATACTAAAAAGTATTCATGACATAATTATACTAAAAAATATGTGTTGTTTGTCTGAAATTAAAATTTAAGTGAGCAATCTATTAAGAGGGGACCCAAATTCGGGGTACTAGGAGAATGGGACTAAACCTGAAGGTGAGTCGAGGGGTGAATTACTTCCATTTACGCCTCCCTGCAGCCCGCGTCATTCAAATACGTTACCTTCAAACCTCACCTTCTTCCGGAAGCTCCCTTGATGGAACTCGGGCAGCCCTTCCTTCTCGGTCCTGCTTTTGTTCAGGCTGCCGGCCGATGTCATCCTAGCTCGTGCCTGGGCCGGTGCTGCCCTTCGTGTGTCCTGAAGTCACTTCTTGTGTGCGAGCTTGTGGCGGAGTAGCAGCCGCCAGGGCGAGCAGGGCCAGCAGGGCCAGCTCCTCCGGCCTTTCCCGGGCCCTCGGGGCAGTGGGTGCAGCACCCACGGCAGGCAGGCTCCCGTGCCTGGGGCTGATGGCTGAGTGGCAGGGCTGCTCTTACATAATTGGTTTCTCTCCTCCTTTCTCTTTCCAGAGCCAGATTTCACACTGAGCAGCTGCAGACGGAGAAATCAGAGAAAGCACAACCAGCCTCGGATTCCGAGGGGCCTGCCGGGCGCTCCGCCTGCTCCGGAGGGAAGCCCTGAGGCCGCTCTCTCGGGCCAGGTCTCCGCTGCCATGGAACCCGCAGCCGCCACCCCCCGGCTGCCCTCCGCACTGCCGGGCAGATAAGGGTGGCGCTGCCCCAGGAGCACCTGCGACCCTGCCAGGCCATCCTCCCTGGCCAGCCCTTCTTCCGCTTTGGGCCACCTGTGCTGACCTGATGCCATGTAGGCCCCCTCGGGCCTCTGGGGACAGACACACCACCGGGGACGCCGCCTCTGCAGCCTGGGGGACCCTGCGCACCACCATGCCCCGGGGATTCGCCTGGCTCCACTGTGAGTACTGGGGGGTCTGGGGGGGGATAGGGGGGGTGAGGACTGCCCCAGGGAGGTCTTGGCCCAGAACCAGGCTCTGCCGTAACCATGGCAACTGGGCCATTCCTGCTGGTGAGAAGTTGAGATGCTTCCCAGCCTAGTGCAGTGCCCTCGGGGCTCCCGGCCGCCCTCCACCCCATCTCCAGCTGACCCCGCTCAGGCGCCTGGTGGGTGTGAGTCATGCGCTGGGTGGGCGTCGGCAGTGGTGGCCGTGGCGCAGGCCTGTGGGGGTCGGTGGCAGCAGTACCTTCCCAGACTCGTGGTGCTAGGAGTGCCGTGGGGACCAAGGGGGCAGAGAGAGGATTTCTAGCCGCCCTGGGTGTGGCCAGCAGGCGGTGGGGGCTTGTGACAGTGTCTGGTCCTCCAGACACGTGGGAGACGTGCGGCCGGTGCCTCAGAAGGCAGCTGGTTTCTCCGTGAGGAACAGAATTAAAAGGCGGAGGGAGAGCAGTTTGTTGGGGAAAAGAAAAATAAGTTGAAATGAGGACAGAAAGAAAGGGCCTAGAAACCTCTCGAGCTGCTGGCGGGGGGCCCGACCAGGATCCCTGCAGACTCTGAGAGTCAGTGTGAGTGAGTCAAATTCAGCACGTGTTTCTGGTGCCTCCCATGTGCCCGCCCGGGTAGGTCCCGGGAGCTCTGTGCTGCACGGACGAGGTCGGGACTTGACCCTTCGAGGAGCTGGCAGAGGAGTTGGGTCCAGTCCGGCCCTTGTGGAAGGATCTTGCAAAGGGTCAGAGCTCTTAGAACAGTGCGGGGACAGAGACCGCGTGTTCTGGACGTTTCCAGGCCGTGAGGAGCAGGCGGAGCCGCATGGGTGAGAAGCCACTTGAAATGTCTGGACGGTGGGCAGTGTCCAGGCAGGTGGACGGGTAGAGGGACCCACATGAGCAGAGGCTCAGCCGGCCGGAGAGAGGCGGGATGGAGAGCTGGTTCGTGAGAGCAGGGGCTGCTGGAGGTTCATGGCCGGCCTGGGGGTGGGGCCGTGACAAGGTCCGCTGCTTTTGGAAGAGTAACCTGGCCGTACTTGCAGGAGCTGCTGTTGCAAACTTCTGGACAGGAAGTGATGAGACCAGTTCCAGAGAGACAGGAGTGAGGATGGGAGGGCGTGGCATAGGGGACAAGGCTGAGGCAGATGGTGGGACTGGGTGTGGACTGAGAGGGTTGGGATGCAGACCGGGGCCTGCAGAGGGGCTGGGCTTAAAACAGCAGAAATTCATTCTGTCTCTGCGCTAGAGGCCTGAAGCCTGAAATCAAGGTGTGGCCGGGCCACTCTCCCCTGAGGGCTCCGGGGAGGACCCTCCCTGCCTCTTCCCCCTCTGGTGGTTCCTGGGGTTCCTTGGCTGGTGACAGCGTCACCCCAGCCCTTGCCTTCACATGGCCTTTCCCTCTGTGTCCCCCCCCGCCCCCACCTCTTCATTTAGGGTCGGCCTTCGTTACATCTGCAGATTCTGTTTCCAAATAAGCTTGCATCTGAGGTTCTGGGTAAATAGAACATTTTTGGGGTGCTGTATACCCCCCTGCACATGGTGGTGGACACACCCTATTTATGCACCAATGGGCTGCCTGGGGGAGAGGCGCAGCCCCCACCCCGGGAACAATGGCAAGGGGGAGGGGCCCCTCCTCACGCTGCCCTTTCTCCAGCCTCCTCTCCGTCTTTCCGGGCCAGGCCTGGTACCTCTGGAGGGGCGGGCAAGGCGGGTCTCTCAACCAGGACCAGGTGTGCCCGGCTGTGGGGCTCCTGGGGTGCAGCATGGCCATTGGCTGTCCCTGCCTGGGCACCCGTTTGCTGGCCTGTTTCCAGGGTGGAGGCAGCAGAAAAGAAGCTTAAAATTGGAAATGGACAGCTGACTTGGAGGAAGGCCGTGGTGGAGGGGGGGGGGCAGAGTCCCTGTGGACAGGGTTCTGGCACAGCCCCGGGTGCCAGGCTGGGAGGCGCTGGCGCGCTGAGACTCGGTCCCGACTACGAGCCCACAGTTGCCAGGTCCTGGAGGCTCTGGACCGGGACACAGTTGGGGGCAGCTGGGGCAGGACGTGGGGTGGGAGAGCAGCCAGTGCTGACTGCCACCTGGGGAAGAAGACCCAGTGTGGACAGATGCTGACTTTTAAAGAAAAGATGGGAATTCAGGTTTTTAGGTGAAATCTCTGTGAACCAGATGTGGGCCTTGGGACATCAGTTTGCAACTGCCGCTCTAGGTCAGCGGTTCTCAACGTGTGGTCCCCAGACGGCCGGCAGCGTCACCTGGGCGCTGTTAGAAATGCCAGGTCTCGGGCCCCACCCTGACCTGCCGAGTCAGACCCTCGGGTGGGGCCCTGCCTGCTACCCTTCCCCTGCTCGAGGGGAACCCCAAACAAGCCCGGGGTGTGGTTACCAAGTCATGTGTTTACATACTAGGGGCTAAGTTGTCTGGTGACGATCATAAGTGAATGGACAGATGGTGCCAGAGGCCAGGATTGGTGGGGGCTGGTGGAGGCAGGGAAGACCCTGGGGAGGGCAGCGGCCAGGGTGATGGTCTGCAGTGTGAGAGGATACCCAGGGCAGCGACAAAGCGTGAGCAAAACCTGAGGCAGGAATGACCTTGACCTGCGGGGATGCCAAGCTGGGAAGGTCAAGGTCAAGGGCTTAGAGACAAGACCGGAAGCAAGCTGGTTCTGTTTGTGTTGATCTAGTTCCTTTGTCCAAATACTGGTTTGAGCACCTGGGAAGAGAAAGAAAGAGAGCGAGGGAGCGTAGGATGGGTGGCAAACGTGCAACCTTGTGAACAATGTGGTTGTCAGGGTTCCGCGAGGGGAAGGGCTGTGGGCTGTGGCCCTTGGGGGGCACAGGGTTTGAGTGGACCTGAGGGCGCTCCCGGTGAGGGGCCCACAGGAGCAGAGGCCCGGCAGCGGGTGAGGACGCAGGGAGGTGACGGTGAGCAGGCCCAGGCGAGTAGGGTTTGGGGACAGGTCTTCCTAAGGACCAGGAAGGTGAGTGGGGAACGTCCGTCAGTAACGCCTCCGCCTAACCAGGGTGGGTCCAGGAGAGGACTCAGCCCGCCTGGCTGATTTTTAGAGAAAAAAAAAGAAAAAGAAAAAAAAAAAAGAAAAGATTGCTTCTGACTATAACAATAATAGCCATTGACTGTAGAATATAAACTATATCCTGTAAAGCATAAAGAACGTAATTTGGGCCCTGACCGGTTTGGCTCAGTGGATAGAGCGTCGGCCTGTGAACCGAGAGGTCCCGGGTTTGATTCTGGTCAAGGGCATGTGCCTTGGTTGCGGGCACATCCCCAGTGGGAGGTGTGCAGGAGGCAGCTGATCGATGTTTCTAACTCTCTATCCATCTCCCTTCCTCTCTGTAAAAAATCAATAAAATATATTTAAAAAAAAAAACGTAATTTGGGACAGTTCTTCCCATCACACTTGCTATGCAGGCAGACGTGTAATGAGCAGAATTCAAGTCATACTTGAATTATACCTCAGATAGAGTATTGGGTCATGCTTTAAAGAAAACTTCCCCCAGCATATCCTGAGCACTTACCACATAAACATGTCAGAAAGCATTCTTTCACAATGTGACTTTTATTGGCTACATTAAGTGTTATTAAACATTTAGGTCACTATTATGAAATAATGCTGCCATGGAAGTCTTTGTCTGTAAATCTTTTGGTTTACAGCTCTCTTGTTTTCTTTTGGGTTTCTTCCTAGAAATGAATTTAATGTGTCAAAGGGTGTGGACATTATTAATTCCATTAATAACAAAAGTTGCCAAATTGCTCTCCAGGATGAGTATCCGCCTTACTACTTTTGCCAGCACCAACTGCTATTACAATAAAATTAAACAAACAAAACCATTTTCCATTTTGATAGGTGAAATGTGATTATTTTAATGTGAACGTCCTTACCTTTTTTTTAAAAAAATATTTTTATTGATTTCAGAAAGGAAGGGAGAGAGAGAGATCAAAACATCAGTGATGAAAGAGAATCATTGATCGGCTGCCTCCTGCACACCCCGCATTGGGGATCGAGCCCACAACCCTGGCATGTGCCCTTGACTGGAATCCAACCTGGGACCCTCCAGTCCGCAGGCCGCCGCTCTATCCACTGAGCCAAACCAGCTAGGGCCTGAATTTCCTTATCTTTATTAGTGAGGTTGATTTTTTTTGGACATGTCTCTTGTCCATTTATATTTTGTTCTTTCTGCTCTGATTGATGTAGCTGTTGTTCATATATATATATATTTTTTGCAAATCCTCCTAGAGATTTTTGGTAAGTCAGCTCAGTTACAGGAAATCACACAGGCTATTTTTGAAGTCACAGCGACCCCCAGTGGTAAAGGCTGGTAACATCCAGAAGGCGGCAGCTCATTCGTTGGCAGGGAGTGTGAGAAACCACCTGAGTGAGGTTCGCTTAGCATCCAGAATGAGCAAGCCAGGTGGGCCCCTGCAGACCCACTGGTGCATCCAACCGAGATGGACGCCAAGGTCAGGTAGGCAGGAGGAAAATGGTCACCAAGAGTCATGTCTAGGGTCGGAACTGGAACCTAGGTCTCCTGAACCCCCAGGTGGAAAAGGCAGCAACAGGCTTTGGAAACAGGTCCGCGCTGCAGGCGGTGCTGAGGTGGCCAGGCAGGGAGGGGGTGCCTGCCTTGTGGGGAGGAGACGAGACTAGCCTCAGGGGCTGGCTTCCGGCCAGGAGCAGACAGGCCGGATGGCTCCTTCCCGCCTGGCCTCGCCCCCAAACCTCCCGCCTCGCCCACGGGGACTGGTGACCGGGAAGAGGGAGGGCTGGGCAGTGTGGCAGCGGGCAGGCTGCTCATGTGTTCCTGTTGGGCACGGTCCACAGATCTCGGCATCCTCCTCGGCATGGCCTTGGGGAACCAGGACCTGGAGGTGTGGCCCCTGACCCAGAGCAAGGAGTGCGCCCTCACTGGCATCCTGCGGGACAGGCTGCAGTACAGGAACCGCCTTCAGTACATGGTAACCGTGTGGCCCCCGCCGTGGCCCCCAACCCAAGCCCCTTGGCTGATGGGACGGAGGGGCCTGGACCTTCAGGGTCCCTCCTTGGACCTGTGTCAGCCCTGAGCCTGCAGGCTCCTTTCTCTGCCTTTCTCCAC